CCACCCTGTATCTCAAAAGTTAAGGCGTTTAGGACATACGTCCATAGGAAGTTTTTTTCTTGAAATAGGTCTACGAATTACCTCCTTGAATATTAGCATGTGTTTAAGGAACATCCTGTATTGTTAGCATTTCTAAGCGTCAAATCTTCTAAACAAGTGAACTGATTTCCGAAAACGAAACGCCGTTACATTTTAAAGCCGTTTTTAATGATTATCACTCAACCCCTATTTCAATTGAAAAACTGGAAATGAAACCCCAGCTCAGAAGTTTGGAGTTTTTGCAATGGTTCAGTCAATTAGTTAGATCCAGTGAAATATTGTATTATTGATTGTTTGACACCTTTTATTCCAATAAGGTGCCCTCAACGATGTAGTCTATTGATTTATTTGCAATGATGAATACTTACCAACTACTTGTAAATACCCCTGTCTAGACCGCATAGGGTCCGTGTTCACTTGGCACATGTACCACCCCCTGTCGACCTCCTGTACATTTTTAATGTGAAGGTACCAGGACCGGTGGTCGTTGAACGATAGGGAGATACGAGGATTTTGAGTAATCACATTGTGGTGGATGGAGAGGATAGTTTGGGTGTCGACCCGTACCCAAGCAACCTAAAACAAAAATCACACAATAATATGACCATGAAAACTGAGAAATATCGAAGTTAATGGAATTCACAACCTCAGACAAAATAAAAAAAGAACCTGAAATGAATACATCTATTTCCAACGAAACTTTCGGAGAATATAAGAGACTTCCTAACAGAAACACTGCTCAATTTGGTAATAGTGGTAATAATAAGAGTGAGTGAAATTATGATCTGGAAAATATCCGAAAATGATAGCCAAATTGTAGCTCTAGGCCAAGATTGAAGAAGAACTACAGAAAGTAGTGAGATGAATAAGAATGGATACACAATACAATAGTTAGAACATGAGTCAAGAGAAAACAAAATATATACATAGTTTATACATAATTAGACCTAGAGACTGTTTTGAAGATATAGACAGAGAAATAATACGAATATTATTTTAAGAGACTACGTGAATTTTTTCACCTAATCAAAATTATTTGATGAATGAAGAGTTGACGAAGGAAATTGAAAATATATTATATTGATTTGATCCAAATTGTTGGGATAACTTCTTCATGGAGAAATTTGAGAAGAAGGCAATCGACGCTTTTGATTTCAAACCAACCATTTGGCTACAATACATGAATGACACCTTCGTTATCTGAATACATGACAGTGACAGACTGAACACCCTAGCTCAACACCCTAGCATCATATTCACCATGGAGACTGAACAGAAACAACGAATAGCTTTTCTAGATGTACTTATCGAAAGGCGTGGCATAAGACTGACACATAAAGTGTACCGAAATCCGACATACAGGGACAGATATCTGCATGAAATTTCGAACCATCATCCAAGTCGTAAGCGAGGAATTATATCAACACCCTGACGGAATGTGCCCGTAGAATATGTGAACCGGAACACATACAAGAAGAAACCCCTAGATGCGATAAAGAATGAACATCGTGACTCTTAGAGTAGCTTCACGAAAGAAAGATTACAGTGTAACCGAGATCAATGAAGCCATGGAACTGAAGAATTCTTTAAGTCAAAATAGTGCACGTGCACGTGCGTTGCACGTGCGTTTCTACCGTACATCCCTAGGGTTACAGATAGAATCGGGAAAACCCTAAGGAAGCTCAACATAAAAACAGTGTTCAAGCCCACCAGGAAAATACAGCAAAGCCTGAGATCTGCGAAAGACGAAAGGGATCCACAATCAGCTGCGGTGGTATACCGAATACCATGCACCTGCGAAAAAGTTTATATCGGTTTCACCAGAAGATTCATGGGTACAAGGCTGAATGAACATCGGAGAAACTGTAGATTAGGTCAAATAGAAAAAATCGGCTGTAGCGGAACACGCGTTTAGTGAATGAGATCATACGATACTGTTTGAAGATGTGAAACTACTTGCACCCGATTATGGATACCACAGTCGGCTTGTACGGGAAGCCACAGAAATCCATAAACATACAGAAAACTACAACAGAAAAAAAGAGGCGACTACGCTCAACCAGATTTGGAATTCTATACTAAAAGATGCTAAGGTGGCAGCAGTGCAACGCAATGTAACAGGTAATAACACTTCGGCCAATAACAAGGCACCAATTAGAAAGGCGGGCTACCTGTGTCAACATAAATACAGCTTACGAACTAGAAATCACGAGACATTTGTGAACCACCAGGATGAGACCTCTGAAGAATCCAGCCACTCGTGCTGGCGGAACGTTAGGATACAGTTCCAAACCACGACGGCCTTCAAACACGAAAGAAGATCGTAACACTGAAAATATTGGCCGCCAAAGCCTCAATCAATTTATTTATCGTTGTTCATAGATCTCATTCCACATTTTATGATTTCGAAACATTCGAAGGTATTTTGAAACTCATCATGTACCGGTCTCAATAATTTAAAAGATTCCTTTTTCAATCTGTGGTCATTCTCTATTGCATGTTGAGCAACACCGGACTTCTCTGGTTTATGGAATCGAGTATGTGAAACATGATCCTTGTATCTAGCAATTATAATCCGCACAGTTTGACCAACATACGTTTCATCGTCATCCTCACAGCTCATTCCGTAATTCGCAAAGATTTTCTTTTGTCTTGTTTCATGGGTTGCCCATCACAAACATCAATGTAGCTTGTAAGAAGTATTTTAAGTCATCTCGCGCCTCGAGAGACATACTTTTTGTTCTGGTGAGGGTACAGTGTTTTCAATAGATTCATTTCACGACAGGGGTTCCAAATTCTAATATCGCATTGTTCAATTTTTTTAAAATGACTCCAAAATCAAAATTATTTTTTTGTTTTCTGCATTATAAATAATTTTATTATTTTCCTCTTTCATCAACCATATTGTGTGGCAATTCTGTGAAAAATACCTGATTCAATTCCATAACGAATGTTCAGTATACAAACTCAATAGAGAAAAGTGGTATTTATATAATTCAGTGCTTATGTAAAAGTATTTGTTTCGAAAGTATTTTTGTTTTGTGTAAGTCAATTTTTTTTCTGTTGAATATATCGAAATTATTATTTCAAATGATGAAAAAAAAAATCCTCTGAAAGTCACAGCCCTCAATAATAATATTGAGATATCCCGCTTGGTGAACTTTTACTTTCACAATTAATTAACATGGGAAAGCTTGTTTTTTACAGTTTAGAGCTTTATACCTCTTTATGGTTCAATAAAAAGACTAGACCTGAACATTTTCTTGCATATAATTGAATGATCTACAGAAAAGCTTTCTTATAATTTTTAATATACCGACGCGTTTTGAAGTAAGTAAGGTTATCCATTTCCGAATGAATATTCCTTCATCAATATATCATTCACTCCATTACTCAAACCAATCTAGGACAAGGAATATAATCCAGAAAAATGGTTAAAAGCCCCAACTGAACTTGTCCCGTGGCCCAGCAGATTAACGTGACTATTTGTTTGTTTTTACTCCGATGCCATGTCGAGTTTTGTTTGAATACGGTCTGGTGATCGGCAAACACGAATACATCGTTCTGCGTGTGTCATACATTGAATTCGAACAGAGAGGCCTGTCGAGCCAACATCTGTTATACAATCGACGTCCTCATACTTAAGCTGTTACCCACATAACATGGAAGACGATTACGTTCAGAATTGTGAGTCTCCCCTCAGATAAACACAATATATAACGGAGCATGAAGGATATGTTGTAAGACGTGACTCTGGTGAGGAGTTTCTATTCAGAGGATCAACAATGCTAACCAGATATTCTTGCTCGGTTCAGATCCGACTACAACTTTGATTTCTCGTTTACGAAACTATCTGCTTGCTTACTTGTTTTCAATATTGACTCGAGAGTTGTGTCGATTGTTGTGAAGTTCTAATTGATATTCCGTAAGATGATAGAAACCCTGGGGTTTCGTTATTTCCAATTTGAATATTTTCAAAGTGAAGAGATTACAGAAACGCCTTTGTTATAGTCATGATTTCATATAGGGTTTTCCAGCAAGGACTTCCGAACAACTGATAAAGGCCATCTTATTGAAGCTGTATCTGTTAAATTAGTAGTAATTCATTCAGTTTGATCTGTTGAATCCTCATGAACGGATATAGCATTCAACCATACATGCAAATAACAAAATTGTTTTATCGTTGCTCTTCGAGCAACGTACCGCCCGTTTCTCATATTTTACGGTCGCCATAATCGTCCTTCCGAGAAGACTATTCGCAAGGTGGTGGATAAATTCGAGTCCACTGGTTCTATAAATAATTAACCAACATCCGTACGTCGACGAAATGCAAGATTTGCCAAAAACATCGCCGCTCTCTCGACCCTTGGTGAATTTTGCGTCATGACTTGGGCTTGCACCAGTACAAAATTGAACTGACCCAGGAACTGAAGGTAAATGACCATAGACTGTTCACTGAATGGGTACTGGAGCAGTTGCCAACTGATCATGATTCTTCAGCGATGATGCCCATTTCTGGATGGATGAACAAACGAAATTGTCGAATTTGGAACGATACCAATCCACTTATGATCGTCCAATTAGCGTCAAATGCATTCCAAAAAAGTCACTATTTGGTGTGAATTTTGAGCTGGCGGTGTTATCGGTCCATATTTCTCTGAGAACGACGTTGGCCTAGTCATCACTGTCAACGGTGAGCATTAGAAGTCGATGATAACCAACTTTTTCTGGCCTGAATTGGATAATCTGGACACCAACGACATGTGTTTTCAACAGGATGACGCTACGTGCCACACATCTACTGCCACATTGAATATTCTGCACGAGCAATCTGAGGGCATGGTCATCTTACGTGAAGGTGATGTGAACTGGCCTCCGAGTTGGTGAGATTCGACCCCGTAAGACTTTTTTACGTGGGGTTTTCTCAAGTCGCAGGTGAATGCAAATATGCTAAAAACCACATAAATCCTCAAAGTTGACGTGTGACCCGTACCATTGGTCAAATTTAGCCTGATTTATGTGCCGGGGTCAAGGAAAATTGGACGTTTCGGATTCACTTCACCTAGAGAAGCCGTGGCAGACATTTGAACGATGTTATATTCCACACATAGTGGCATAATGGCAGAAATATTTTCACGATATCCCATACACACTTCGTTTTATTCAAATTTATAAATAAGAAGCGCTCCATGAAAGACCCTATACAGGGGTCGGCAAGTCGTTTTAGGTGGGGTCCGGTAACATTTTGACGAAGTCCAGAAAAAAACAACTGATAAAAATTAAGTGCCACCTATATATTTTTTGGTTTTGAATCGAATTCTGAATTATTTGATGTGAGAAATTACACCGACGGTCTTGAGCCAGTTTTTTATAGTTTGGTTCTCGATAGGAACAAGTTTTCGCCTTAAGATTCGAGATCTCGTTCATTATTCACCAAAACGTTTTCTTCCTTATTTTATCATCTACAATTCCCCTCGAGAAACCGTTATTGGCTGCTATTTCCTGTATTGTCGGTTTTTCTTTTGTGAACCTCTCATGTATGACAGGAAAAGTCAAAAGACGATGCATTAGAATAT